CCTGCATTCGACATCACAATAGCCGGCATCTTGTTCTTCGTCCCTCAGCTGCAAGATAGGTCAAGAAAGAGGAGAAGATGACACTTGAACATGAAGCAGATGATGGGGGTGTGTGTGTATATATGGAGAGAAGTCTTCAAGGGAAGACGACGCAGAAGAATGTTGGATTGTGATGGCTGACTGGAATCTAACGACGAGTGACCAATAATGGTGATCATGCTCTCACATAGGATTGGAATTGTTTGGCTTTTTTTGGTTGTCCTTGTCTATCCTAACCATGTAAACTAAGTTAAAGATATCGTTAATAGGATTTCCTACCATTACAGATCGAAAACTAAGTACATGAGTTGTGTTCGGGATGGGTTTGACTACTTCAATGGTTAGCCATATTTGTATTTAAGGTTAAATTCATTTGGATATTGGTTGCATTGTTATTCCTAAGATAGAAAGTAGGTCTTATTTTTGGGTAGCCATTTAAGATACTAATTTTATTATTTAGGAAGGATATGGATAAAGAATTAGTAACCATAATGGAGTGTTAATGGCCTGATACCTATTTAACTTGTAGAAGTAATCATACCTATTTAACTTGTAGAAGAATATGCATACGCATTTTGTTCTTTAACAGTACATGCATCATTGTATTGGTTCGAGTATCTAATGCTAAGACCTAATCACCTCCGAAACCCGGCTCTTAATCGGGTCGGACACAGACCAGTTTCTGGGTTGTTGTTCGTCAATCAAATTAACGGATCGGATCCGACTGATACCTCAGTGCCCGGATCCAGGCACAACCATGCGCATCCACAAGTACTCGCTTGTTCATCTCAGTGGATCCCACTTTTTATGTGGAGCCCGTCTGTCTGTCCAGTAGACATACGGGTTCAAGGAAGATCATTCAGTAGTTAATTATAACCACTAGTTTTTCTTTCTTGCACATCACGCATCGAGAGAATCTATATAACACGTTGCGTCCGCACGACCACGAATAGAAAACCCTAAAGCCGAGCCGATCCGATCCAAATCCTAGTCTTGGGGCGACGCCTCCGTGCGCATTCTTTTGTGCCCACCGGCGATCTCTTGGGGCTTCCTATCCTCCTCGTTCCTTCCCAACCTCGCGTTCCCGATCCCGGATTAAGGTCCAGTATCTCTCTCTGGGTGTCTTGCTTTCCCATCCGATGTGGCCTACGCGGTGATAATTCGAATAATTGGAGTCTATTCTAGAAGATGAGACTTTGGGTTTCGTAGATGATTAGGTCCCTCTAACCTTTCGATTTCATGAGGAAATGTTTCTGAGCGTATTTCTTGATTGCTTTTTTGTGTGGTGTTTTTGCTTTGATATCTTGATTGTCTAGTTTCATTCGGAGTGCATAGAAGAAGTGAATCCGTTGATTTTGGGCTGGAAAAGATCCCTTTGTTTGGGTGTCTTCTTGCATGATTCGATGAAATATGTTCAGCTTCTTTAGCTTTGCAAAGTTTTGACTTTTTTATTATTCGTGGTCATCACAGGTCTTTAAAGGTGTTTGCAGCCGGCCGTCATGGCTACTCGTAAGTACCAATAGCTATATTTTATGTCTAGTTGATGAAAATAAGGAACTTGTTGAATTTTTTTGTCATGAAGAAGTGTAAATTGTTTGGCATTTCATAGAAGTTGGCAAATCTGGATTGCTATGTTGTGGTCTCTCTAAATTCTCGGGATATTTTTGTTCAATGCCTCTTTCTAGAAATATATGAGCAATTACTGATGTGTAAAACCAGAGTGTCCCATGCAGATAATACATGCTTCATAGGGTTGATTGCTTTTGAATATCATTAAATTTTATTTCAGTCCTATAATTCCATTTTCTTCTATCCTTGAATGGTCCTTGAATGCTGAACTGGGTAGTTTTAGCTCTTAAAGTGCTCACTTTCTCATGTTCCCGGTTGAAGATGATTACTCCATTTTCTGCTATATTTGCCACATGATGCATTCTTCATCAATGACAAGGAAATATGTTGTTAAATGCTTTACAACTTTAAAAGGGACCTCAAGAAGTCATCAGTTAACTTTTTGCAGGGATTCAGTTTGAGAACTCTTGCGAAGTTGGAGTGTTCTCAAAGCTGACAAATGCCTACTGTTTGGTTGCAATTGGAGGATCAGAGAACTTCTACAGGTTAGTATGTTTGAAAGAAATAAAAAAACGTTTTTATTATTATGTAGCATTTTTATGTGTTGCTGATGATCTTACATTGGATGATTTGCAGCATTTTTGAAGCTGAGTTGGCTGATGTTATCCCTGTTGTCAAGACATCTATTGGAGGCACTAGAATAATCGGGCGACTTTGTGCTGGTGAGTGCTGAAAAGCGAGTTATCCAACTTTATGTTGTAATTTTACTTCTAATCACACATCTTCCCACTTCAATGCAGGCAATAAGAAAGGACTTCTTTTGCCGCACACCACCACCGACCAAGGTAAATTTTCATTGTCGAGACATTTAGTTTCTGAATCAATTTTTTTATAGTGTAATTAACTTTTAGTTGAAAGCTGATAATTTTGCTAGGTAGCTCCTTTCAATGTGTCGGACAAAGACATTATTACTATTGTGTTCAAAGGCATAACAAAGATTTGTAAGCTATAAATATAAATAAATAAATTAGGCCTTTGATTTTAACAATGTCATAGATCTGGCTTTGGTTTTATTTTGGAGGTGATTTATATCCATGGGAGTGTGCAGCTCAGCTGCTTGAGGTGGATAGCTGCTAGATCAATACTGTCCATTTTAATTTAATATGCCAATCAAAGTTTGATGGCAACAGGTGTTTATGTAAGGTTGTTTACTTGCCTATGGAGTGGATATGTAGTGGTGTTCACAGTTGGTAGTTTTGGAAATTTTCTTTTGCTTTGTCTGTTTTTATCTGTCATGGCCTGAGACTTTACAGCATAGCTCTTGTTTATTTTCCACCAATTCTTTTGATTTCCTTTTACATAAACATTTATCTTCCACTTCAGTATTTGTGGTTGTTAAGTCAAAGGTATCTTAGGCTTTTTAGCAGTTTTTTGAATTTTACCTTTTTTTTTCTCATTACATGTGTTTAGGTATTCTCTGATCCTTACACTGATGATATCATACTTCTCCCCTAGTCACTGTAGTATTCGACATTGCTTTAGTGCCACTGCTGATTGGGGTATCTCATGAGCCTTTTGTTTTCATCTGGGAAATGGTTTCCTCATAAACTCTACATCATAAGTGCTTCATCGCACACCTAGTTGTTACCGATACCATATTGTGACCAAAGAGGAGGAAAAGACAAAAGAGAAAAAAATAAGAGGAGTGATTAAAAACAATTAAAAGTAGGAATCCAAACTTTTGGAACTGTGTATTAGGTTTTTCTAAGGTTTATTTGTTTGTAATCATTATATGATTGAAATTGCAGTTGAGGTTGTCACGGTATTTTGTTTCTGAAACTCACGAGTTATTTGAATCTATCTATCTATATGTGTGTTTGTAAAATGTCTAACATATCTCCTTACTTCAGAAGGAAACTCCAAGTTAATATGATAAAAAAGGAATGAGAAATGTGATCTTTGGCATTCAATTACTAGCAAATTAAGGATTTCCATTCTCTTGTGTAAACAAAATGACTGCTTTATGTTATGCTTGCTTTATTGTGTTTCCAGAGCTCCAACATCTGAGGAATAGTCTACCTGATCAGGTGGTGGTTCAGCGAATAGATGAAAGATTGTCTGCTTTAGGCAATTGCATATCCTGCAACGACCATGTTGCTCTTACACACCCTGATCTGGACAAGGCAAGTAATTTTCTTACTTTTAATTATCAGGGTGATGTTATCAAGAGAAACGAAGCATCACTTGTAAAAAACTATTTGGCCTTGAAATGTGGCTTTGAATCCTTAGTATTCAGCTCTCGTCTCCTACTGTCCATGCTCACCTATGTGGTTTAGTTGATGGCTTGTTGCTTTTCTAATCTCTAGTTGCCTCTCTTACCCTTGCATTGGTTTTTTGTTCTTTTATTTTAGGATACCGAAGAGCTCATTGCTGATGTACTTGGTGTAGAAGTATTCCGGCAGACGGTTGCTGGCAACATACTGGTTGGAAGTTACTGTGCGTTTTCAAACAGAGGGGGCCTGGTAAGTTGGTGTATCTTCTGCTGAAATGAATTGTTGTTGTCATGACTGCATCATCTTCTTATGCGGGCCTGTTAAAACAGGTTCATCCGCATACATCCATCGAAGACCTTGATGAGCTCTCAACTCTTCTCCAAGTACCCCTGGTCGCCGGAACAGTGAATCGAGGCAGTGAGGTCATTGCTGCAGGTATGACAGTGAATGACTGGACAGCTTTCTGTGGATCCGACACCACAGCAACAGAGCTCTCTGTCATTGAAAGCGTCTTCAAACTCAGGGAAGCCCAGCCAAGCTCTATTGTGGATGAGATGAGGAAGTCTCTCATCGACAGTTACGTATAAGATCTCGAGTTTTTGGGACGTGCAACTCTTTTGTCACCCTAGTTGTTGAAGATGTATCTTCATTTTCGTCAATATCCTCAAAACTATTTATATGCGAGTGCTTGGTTTTCTTTGTAACCTAGTGGAGATGTTAAGGAAATGTCAACTATTTATCTCTGATGGTTTCTAATTCTTAGGCTTGTTTGATTTAATAAGTCGGTGATTTATGTTGACGGTATATTGTAAATGGAGAATAAATCATGTGCTTGAAGTATATGATAAGGGAAAAGATGTGTAGAACTTCACGCTAAGGTTTCTGTAACTTGATAGTTCAATTCGATTAAATACAATTCATCGACATTCTACAACGCTCGTTGGATTGCAAGCTCAATTCTATTCAATGCAATTCGTCATTCCGTAAGCCAAATGAAGATATCCTGTTGCCGGGATACGCTTCCACCGCGCAAGTCGTGATGACAGTCATCATCGACCAAAAATGGACCGTCCACGTGTATAGTCCCATCGAGAATCCGACGCCACGGCACTCGAGATATTTATGGGTACAAAACCCCCTACCCCGATCTGCCCCTCGGCTTTTGTTGCGAGTGCCTGCTTCATTTCTCGCTTCTGCTCCTCTGCCTCCACGATCAGGTACGGAACCCTGGGTTCCATTTCCCGATCCTTGCGTCTTTCCATCTCGATGTGCCCGCGTCGTGTTCTCCGATCGTGATTTCTTCGTTTCTTTTGTTGTTGCGGCAGCGATCATGTCGGACGAAGAGCATCATTTCGAGTCGAAGGCCGATGCCGGAGCGTCCAAGACCTACCCGCAGCAGGCTGGAACGATCCGCAAGAACGGGTACATCGTCATCAAGAACAGGCCCTGCAAGGTTCCTGATCCACTCCTCACAACCTCTGCTCTCCTTTGATGCATTTCTGGATATATAGTTTTGGTGATCTGTCGTATATACCTTGGAATCTATCTCATGATCGTCTCTTTTCTGGGCTATTTCGGTTTTGATCGGGATCTCTTGGGCTTTAATCTTCTTTTATCCAATGTTTCTGGTGAGTTTCCAATTTTTTTCTGCAATATGCAACTATGGAACATCAATTGAGATGTTGTTGTGATGGTTCAAGGTGGAATTTGCACGGTCTTGGTTCATATCTTCTGGGCATGTAGTGGCTATCGATTGAAGGTAGTGGAATGTATGTCAACGAAGAATTGATGGATGACAGGATCTGGAGAAATTCCTGTTCACAGTTTCTTTATGAACACTTTTAATCCAATCTGAGCGCAGTTACACACATTGCACTTCCACGAAGTGAAGAAAATCCTAATTCTTGTACATATTGGAAGAACAAAAACTCGTGCAATCCTCCTCATCCGACATGGACTAACAGTCGAGGAAAACTAGTAGTGCTAACTCACAGGATTTATCTTTCCTGAGTTTTTTGGTGAAGTATGCAACCTTATCGTCTCCTTACCTTGTGGAATTCTTTTTGTTCCACGGTTGTACTTCTTTTCTTAGGTATAAATGTGTTTCTTTTTTTTAGGTATTCTGAGGCCTGCAGAATTTTTTGGATATTTTGCTCTAAAGGTCATCCATGTCGTGATATATGATGTACACCTGGATCATCTACATGATTTGTGTCTCTGGAATAATGCACCATATTTGTTGTTCAATCGTACATGCTATTTATGGCTGTATAGTAGTTCACTTTACTTGTTATTGTGATTATAAACTGCTTCATTCTCTCATTGTTTTATAGGTTGTTGAAGTGTCAACCTCCAAGACTGGGAAGCATGGTCATGCAAAATGTCACTTTGTTGCCATAGATATCTTCAATGCAAAAAAGCTTGAGGATATTGTGCCATCTTCTCACAACTGTGATGTATGTTTCTTGATATATTATATTTATATGTGTTAATTTGCATTTGTATGTATGTATTTGAATTTGTTTGGTTTATCTGCAGGTTCCACATGTCACTCGAACTGATTATCAACTGATTGACATTTCTGAAGATGGATTTGTATGTTGTTATATGTTTTCATATAATGTTTCTTTCTTAATTGGTGGTTTTCTCATAACTATTTGGTTGTGTATGTTAGGTGAGCCTTCTGACTGAAAATGGTAACACCAAAGATGATTTGAGACTCCCGACTGATGAAACTTTGTTAGCTCAGGTTGGTGATGAAGATTTATTTTCTTTGCCATTTTTAATTTTTTAAAAATCTGATCTAAGTTGGGATAAAGAAATTTAACTTATAGTATCCAGAGTTTTTAGTAAGTAATGACCTTTTTGAATGTCATTTATGTTTTAAAGGACAGTAGTCTTGACTAAGAAGCACACAGTAAATGTTTTAAACAGAAAACAAACAACTTGCACTCTACAAGCAATTACATGATGGTGGAAATATAGTTAGTTAGATATTATTGATTATGCTAATTATGTATACAGTTTGACATGACGACATCCATGATTAATGACATGATGAATATCATGAGTAACTTTTTGACATGTATAAGTCCTCATCATTATTAATTTCCTTTCAGTGGTACCAACAGGGGAAAAGAAAGGGATTCTTTTTCCATGAAGGCTTCTGTTGTTAAATAGACAATCAATGATCACTATAATTATAAACTAAATATATAAAAGAATGCTTTTTTGTCCATAGTGTGATGATCTTTCATGCTTTATGTACAAAATCAAAGTCATTGGTTGCTGGTCCATCATGGTAATCTGATTTAAATTATCTCAAAATATCATATAAATTTTTTGTGACATTTAGTTAGAATCCAGACATTTTGCACTATTCTGGATGCTTGCATTGCTTGCCCTATCTGTAGTATCAACACCTTTATGTTGGTAGTTACAAAATTTGCTCTTGGCTCAGAATAGCTGGAAGTTCTTTATGTTATCTGAATTGGTGAAGCTTATGTGTTAACACATCATCTATATTTGCTCCCTTTATGGGCTTTGCATTGCAGCAAGGATCCCTTATTATATTTCTGCTGACTATTTGAGTTTGAGAATGTATGTTAAAAAAAATTGCTAGCTTATTATTCTGTTATTGCACAGGAATTTGTGATCAACTTGGTCTGGAGTTCAATCTGTGTATGTTTGTTATTGGTGTGAACGCACTTGCTTTAAGGATGCATTAGTTTGCAATGAATGTTAGACTGGATTCTTCATAACTTTCACAACAGTTTTTCAAGTCATTGTTAGTCTTATGGTCAGTCGACGACCTGGAACCAGAGAGGTTCCAAGCCGGAGATTGATGCTGGAACTAGGATTGCCCTTTGTGTGTCTGGAGGAATGATGGTGGATGGAGGATGAGGATCCGTGAAGTCCAACCAAGTCTCCATGAGCCTTTGTTCTTGCAACAAAAGAACAGTGTCGGGTGTACCCATGGGTCGGTCCCTCCAATGCCTAAATCAGTGGGTTTGTTTGGATAGAGGGTAGGGAGAATGACGAGAGAGAAGAACTTGGGCTATTGTCAAAGGGCCATCTATTTGTAGTCAGGGGTACTTAACTGCCTACATGTAGGGAAGTATTCCATTGACCATTCTTGATTCGGAGAATACTTTCCGTTGTGGTTGATGCTGATGTGGTGAGTTCAATATGCCAATTAATTTTTGACATTCAATGTCCAAATGTCAAGTTAGTGTGGGATGCACAATTTTACCTCTATCAGTCTTCTAAATTCTTATGGAAGGTAAAATGAGGTGCTACCAGGATTGGGGAAGAAGGCAGATGTGTGGGAATTAGAAGCTTGGAGGAGAGGAATAGGAATGGAGGAGGCAAGGCATTGGTCGATGGAGTGGGGAAGGAGTATTGCATGGAGGAAAGTAGCGGCATTGGAAAAAAAAAGTATAAATGATTAGGTTTTATAAACCCTATAACTACAAAGTCAAGGTATGCAATTTCGAATAATACCATTTGGTACGGGCGATACCGGTCCATCAACTGACCAGTACATGGACCGTCCATTACCGGATGGAACGATATATATATATATATATATGTATATATATGTATGTATATATATGTATATATATGTATGTATATATATGTATATATATGTATGTATTTATATATGTATATATATGTATATATATATATACACACACACACACACACACGAGGTGGCGTCGCCCCGCTTGCGAGAAGAGAGAAACGACGTCATTGAATTATATATATATATATATATATATATATATATACATACCGAGTGGTATACCGTTCGGTATACAGTATCGTACCGTAACGAGCGAACGTCGAAACTCCGGTACGATACGATATTTCAATCCTTGCTACAAACACATTTATAAATCCCACCGTGTCATCTTAATCTTTCCTAACAGTTTATTTGACCATAGGTTTAAAGGGTACACAAAATATTTTCTGTTAAACTCTTGATGGACTGAAGATGATGAACATGTTTCTTTTTCTCTGTTCGGATCATCTGAGAGATGAAAGTTCTATTTGGATTGGCTTAGGTTGCTAATGAACAAGCTGAGATTTGAGCTGAACACCAAGCTGCTCACTTGCACTGAGATATACTTGTATACCTAAATGCCTGTGTTATGTTGGCTTTATGATCCTGTTAAAATTTTTACAACGATTCTGTTTGTCTTTGATTAAAAAGGTTTTTTTGGGAATCTAATATTTTTTGCCTGAAATTATGTTTAATTTTTGCCAGATCAAAGATGGGTTTGCAGAGGGCAAAGATCTGGTTGTTACTGTGATGTCTGCGATGGGTGAGGAACAGATTTGTGCTCTGAAGGATATTGGCCCCAAGTAGTTATTGTCTGTTGGGATCCAATTTAAGAGGTATATTGAAAATTTATGAGACTTGAAGGAATATTGGATCTTTATTCTAAGAGATGGTGGTGGAATGCATTATATTAAAACTCCTGTTGTGGTGTTTCTACTGGTACTTCTATATTGTTTTAGTTGTCTTCTTTTGGCAAAGTTATCTGAGGCAAGTTCTTGTATAAACAATGTGTTTTATCTTATTTATAAAAGAATATCTTTATCAATGTATTTAGTATCTCATTTATGTTGCCATTATTTGTCATGATATATAATCACAAGTGACTTGTAGTAAATAAAATAATTTTTCATGTTTGGCTGTCATCACTGTGGCAGGTGGTCAGAAAGTGACCTGTTATCTGTTAGGCTTCGGCGGTAGTTTGGATGAACTAGCTCCCCTTGAACCATGTAAGGTGAGCACTGTTATCAAAGTTGTTTCTCTGGTAATTAAGATCAATATCTTAGGTAGGCTCAATATATGTGAATGCTGAATATAATGCTCATCTTGGTATGCTAGAAGCTATCTTTGTACTCTGTGCTTCTTGTTGATGTCAAGATTATATATAGTGAACTCTGTGCACGTGATCCTCAAGGTAGTCGTGCATTGATGATCGCAGTCATTAATGTATAGCACCTCGGTGGGTGAATCAGCAGTTCGGTTGTGCTTGAATCTTAGTCATCAACTAGAAAGTTCATTTAAAAATGTGTGCATCTAGAACTTTCGGAGGAACCATTTTACAAATTTTAATCAGGTTTATTTTGATATTTGATAAAGTCAAACATTTAAACATCAGGTTTTTTTTGTTAATCAGTTTTGTTGCTAGCCTTTTTTTTGTGTCATCTCTGGTGTGTGGTGGTAGTGTTTCTTGGTTTAGGACTTTTTAACATTTTGAACCGCAAGATAAAAATTACCTGCCAAAATTTGAAGGATTTGATGCAACTTTCGTGGCATTCGTCACAAGTTGATAATGTATACGATGTGGCAGCCGATTTACTTCACGCAATGACACAGTTATCACAGAAATCTACGATATCACATGTGGTAATAGACGGCGACGCACGTCAAGCCAGAAGAAAAAAATATTGAATGTTCAAGTTGTCATTACAAAAGAAAGAACACCTGAACCATGTCTAAATAGATACAAGGCACCGGAGAACTGCCTAAAATGAACGCAGGCATCGGATAAGATACATAGGAAACAATGACTTCAAATGAAGTCGGGACTTCTAATGACTTGAATTGTTTGACGTGCTTGGAAAGTAGTACCACGAGGTCATTCAGCCTTTCACCTCCCTTGGCACAGTGGATTTGCCATCAGCGTGGAGTCGTCATCGGTCAAGGCGTATACGTCGTCGCCGTTGCGGGCCGGGCTTTCCAGGGGAATGTTCGCGGCGCTCTTTTCGGCGGGGTCGTCGCTGGGCTGCCCCATGGAAGCCTCCTGGAGCTGCAGGGCATACTCCAGGTTCCACAGGACGTCTCCCATGGACGGCCGGTCCACTCCGTGCTCCGCCAAGCACTTCTCCGCCGCCTCCACGTACTTCTTCAGCGAGGCGGAACTGATGGTTCCCACCAGGTGAGGGTCGATGATCTTCTCCAGCTGGCCCTTGCGGTGCCACTGCATCGCCCACTCCGCTAGGTTCACTTGCTCCCTCGGCAGGGCCGGGTTGAGAGCGGGCCTCGCGCAGAGCACCTCGAACAGCACCACCCCGAAGGAGTACACGTCCGACTTCTCCGTCAGCTGCTGCCGCCGGAAGTACTCCGGGTCGAGGTACCCGAAGCTGCCCTTCACCGCGGTGCTCACGTGCGTTTGCTCCAGGGAGGGGGCCGCCTTGGAGAGGCCGAAGTCGGCGACCTTGGCGACGAGGTTGTCGTCGAGCAGGATGTTGGTGGTCTTGACGTCCCTGTGGATGATGCCCTCCGACGCGCCAGTGTGGAGGTAGTGCAGGCCTCGAGCGGCGCCGATGCACACCTCGAGCCGCTGCTTCCACGAGAGCGGGGTGTGGCATGTGCCGCCGTAGAGGTGGTCCCTCAAGGGTCCCTTGGCCATGTACTCGTACACCAGGATCATCTCGTTGTTCTCATCGCAGCAGCCGATGAGGGAGACGAGGTGGCGATGGCGGAGTTTCGACAGCATCTGGATCTCCGTCTGGAACTCGTTGATCCCCTGCTCCGACGACGGGTTCCCTCGCTTGATGGCCAGTTTGGTTCCGCCCTCCAGCGCGCCGATGTAGACCTTCCCGAACCCCCCGACGCCGATCACCTCCTTCTCGTCGAAGTTGTTGGTCGCCTCTTGCATCTCGGCCAGGGAATAGATCTTGCCCAGGCCTATGGCGCCGGACGCGAAGAAGCTCGAGTAGCCGCTCTTGCTCTTGTGGGATCCATAGCGGTTTCGGGAGCTGCCTCTGTAGCTGCTGTTGCTACTCATGAAGGTCGAGTGGCTCATGTGGAGGGGGAGGAGCCACGACGAGAAGCTGTTGGTCTTCTCCCAGTCCGCCGGCCGCCGCCTCCACCGGAAGAACATCACTGCCACCAGGGCCATCGCCATCGCTCCCAGTGCGAGCCCCACGCCCGAGACAATCCTCCTCGCGAGGCTCCCCGAGGCTGAGCCGCCATGGTACGATCCATCGACGGCGAACTGCCCGTCGAGGCTGCCCGCCGAGTTGCTCATCTTCATGACCTCAATGCCGTTGAGGATGGCGTTGGAAGACCCGGTTCCTGAATCAGCCGTCGGGCCGACCTGCACCGTGATGGTCTCGTTGATGATGGTGGTGCCGTTGATCACGAAATCCTTGTAGTAGGGCACCGCGAGGGCTGCGGTCGCCGTCGAGAGGTCGAGGCTGGAGACCCCCGTCAGACCATTTAGAAAGACGTTGAAGTAGAGCTCATTGAGGCTCTTGCTGACTATGTCGCAGAAGTGCATGCGGATGAGGTACGAGAAGGCCGAGTCGGCGCCGAACTGCCACGTTAAGTTGAAGTTTTGATCGACGGTGTTCGAATCGGCCATCTCTCTGGCGCTCGTGTAGACCGCGCTGGGTGCGATCAGCGGCGTGACCGATCCGTCGTCGGGGTACTTGACGGTGCGGGTCGGCACGGAGACGTTCTGGGCCGCCGCCGCCACCTTCAAGAACTCGGCATCGGTTTGCCACGTCCGCGACAGCGTATCGTTCGATGATCCGATCACCGGGCCCCCAACGTTCACCCGGTGCATGACCTCAAGAGAATACTTGGAGACGCCGGTGAATTGACCCTGGGGATTGATGCCTGTGGCCGCGTCGACGATGAGGTTATCGGGCGCAGACACGACCTCAATGGCGTTGATGAACGCGATACGGCCCTTCCTGGGGGAGAAGACGAGCGACACCCTGTCGCGGTCGATGGGAATGAGGTACTCCTTGAGGAACGGGGAAGGCGGGGCTGGCGGGCTGAATTCGTGGAGGAGGACGATATCGTCGGTGCTGACAGTGAAGGCCGCCGACATGAGGTTGTAGTCCGCAGCGGGGAACGGGTAGAAGTGAAATCGGACCCAGTGGCGGCCGGGCTTGGAGATGAAGAAGCTGAAGGTGGACTCCGCCGGGAAGACCCTCGCGGTGAGGTACAGCGGGGACACCGAAGTGTTCGCCGTCGAGTTGTCAGCGGCGACCTTCACGTCTTCATCGGTCGAGAGGAAGGAGGAGGACTGGGGGTCAGAGCGGAAGACGCGGCCGTCGTCGAGCTGGGTGCTCTTCGGCGCGCCGCAGTTGAGGAGGTAGCTGTCGGAGGGAGAAAACCTCACGGGCGCCGAGGCGGATCCTCCGCCGGATCGGGCGCAGGCAGAGGAGAAAAGGGAGAGCAAGAAGAAGAGGGAGAAGAATGGTGTTCCCGCAATTGTCGCCGTCGACGCCCCATATCTCTCAGGTCCGGTCATTTCATCAGCTAGCTGCGACACAGGAAATCAACCGGCGTGCATGGGGAGGGCCGGCGAGCTCCTGCGTCAGTACAGGCGGCAATGGGAGGGAGTCAGGTGCACGATGACCGGGGAAGGGGAGGAGGAGATGAAATGGAGGCAGAGGAAAGGGTGGTTGGAAGCACGCACGTACGTCGTTAGAGGGTGAGGGACGAGGAAGAGCGGTTTTGGCAACACGACCATATCTGTTATCGGAAACAGAAACAAGTCACCCACGAGGAGCGGCTTCTATTTGCCTTCACGTTACTGCTACGGTTTATTTAGTTCGGACTCCGTCAAAGCGTTACGCGACCGGCTCAGCTCTTTTAACGGGACAAGAGCTGTCGACACGTAATCGCGTCGCGGTGCGATTGGCTTACCAGCGTGGGTGCTGTCGGCGAGAGATAGGAGATCGAGAGATTTCTTGTCGGCAACCAGTCTCTCAGGGTGGTGCAGTTTGGGTCGAACCCAATCCAACTCATATCTGATTTAAACGGGCTTGGGCGGCGGTATTGCCATCACGGGTCGCGCAACCCGACCCAAATTGAATCCGGATGAGGGCCATAACCCGACCCGCGTCGGCAACCCTTTCACTGTCCGAAACCCTAACCGCTGGCCTCAACGCCTACCCCGTGGCCTCTTTCCCTCTTCGACGGCGGCGACGGCTGTTCTTCAGGTACTCTTTCCCTCTTGTCG